ATTCTATAAATATTTGAAGAAAATTTATGGACTATCAAATCTCAAAGATATATCTCAAGGCTTCTTTTCCTTCCTATGTGTTTTTTAAATGTCAATCTGACCATTTATTGAGAAAACACAATGTTGAATTCTTCTATATGCTGGGTCCTATAATAGATGTTAGGAAAATAAAAATTAGTAACATATACTTGCTGTCTTCAAAAACTCACAAAATAGTATTCATAATTTTAAGCCAGACATAAATACATTTGACATAGCATGAATAACAATCAAATCTCTCCTAAGTTGGCTTCTTAGTATCAAAACCAGAACACACACACACACAGGCTGTTTCCCCCAATACTCTGTCATTTCCATACCTTGGAGCCAGGCTGTCCTTTTCCAGGCGGTCCTTCTGGCCCTCTTGTTCCTGGAAGCCCTGCTTCTCCCTGGTGGAAATGACACAGACATCTCAGCTGACTCTCCATAGACAAGTGTGATAATCCCCCCTTGTCTTCTCTTATTGACAGTGGATTCAGCTGAGAAGCTCCAAAACAGACTAGACCTTCACTCTAGTCTCAAAATTAATTTGGAAGTTCACCAACTTGAATAAAGTAACGTCAAATTCAAGTTTAACTCAGCAGCTGGAATATCATGAAAAAGTCCAATTTCTCAGCCAATTTCCAAAGCAAATAAGCTCACTTTCCTTTGGCTCTTCATTCACATTCAGCAGATTTTTTTTAAACAAGGAAGACCTTCAGCCTTTACACCTGCTGTTTTTCACTACTTTTATTGAAAAATGAATATTTCAAATGCCAATTCAAAATACTTCAGAAAATCCTGACAATGACCTTACTTCCTGAATGCATTTACAGACTCTCCTTTTGGAGAGAGAAAAAAAAACTGTGTTTCTCTTAAGTTTAAATTAATGTGCTTTCTAGAAATCCTGAAGGAATTAGGTAACTGGAGAACACCATAGCCAAAACACCAAAGAGAAGGCAGAGGATGTGAGACACTATCTCGGTCTTTGAATGGGCACTCTTTTTATAGGGGGTAAGTGAAAAAGGAAATTTAGGATCATGGAATTTTTTTTAAGGAGGCTAAGTTTGTCCTGGATGGTTCAATCTGAGCTCCTACAGGACCAAGACATCAGTTTTGTGCAATAGTTTTCACTCCAGTAATATGAAAAACTTAGTGTTACCTTCTTCCCTGCAGCTCCATCTTCTCCTGGTACTCCTGGTTGTCCTGGGAGCCCTATTGAGCCTGGCTCCCCCTGGTGGATGAACAAAGACTTTATTTCCCAGAAGTTTGTATAGCATGCACTCCATTTTAAAGTACTTGCAATTAACATATTTTATAGTGTCTGTGAAAAGCTTCAAAGAAATCTTATTACTAATTAATAGTAATTGAACTATTTGACCTTGGGCAAGTTACTTATCATCTCTGGGCCTTAGTTTTGGATTCTGTTGTGATAGTTTGATCTATGACCCACCCCCTGCAAAATGTATGCTGGCATCCTAACTCTTGGTACCTGTGAATGTATCCTTAGTTGGAAATAGAGGCTTTACAGATATAATCAAGTTAAAATGAGGCCATTAGAGTGGGCCCTAATTCGGTGTGACTGGTGTCCTTATAAGAGGAAAATGCCACATGAAGACAGACATACAGGGAGAGGACCGTGTGATAACAGAGGCAAAGACCGAAGTGATGCAGCTGCAAGCCAAGGGATGCCAAGGATCGAAAGCCACCACCTGGAGCTAAGAAGAAACGAACAAGGATTCTCCTTTACACGTTTTGGAAGAAGTACAGCCCTACAGACACCTTGATTTTTGAACTTCTAGCCTCCAGAACTGTGAGACAATAAATTTCTGTTGTTTTAAGCCACCCAGTTTCCATCGACTATAGGAAAACAATATAAAAGTGAAATGAAAAATTGGGGCCCTAATACCACTTCCAGCTCTAATAGTCAATAATTCTACTTGGTTTCAAGTTAATTTATGAGTTAGTATAAATCTTTTAAAGTGTTCAGAAAAAAACACATGATACTTTCAAGCAGGATGAAAGTGTCTTTATTGCATTTATTAATACCAAAAAAAATTTTAAAAATAATTGAAAGTCATTTTAACTGACCTAAAAAAGCTAGTGGAAATAAAAACACAATAATCCTAAAAATAAATAGAAGGATGTGATAAAGATGCAAGAAGAAAATAATAAACTTGAAAACGAAAAGAAGATTCACAAAATTAAAAAGTAATACATGTTAAAGAACTAATAAAAATTAATAAGCCTCTAACAGGGATGATTGACACTTGAAAAGGCACCAATAAATGGTATTAGGAATGAAATAAAGTGTAACTATATACATAGTAAGGATTTTTTTATCACAGAAGATTTCTGTGACAATTTTAAACAAATATATTGGAAAACATTAATAAATGGATAACTGCAAGAAAAATATAAATTATATAAATGATGTAAAAAAG